GAGAACCGGAGACCCTTTTTAGTGGAAAGGAGGCATTCCATCTTAGTCCTCGCGGATGACAACGCATTTGCATTTTGATTCGTAATCGAGGATAGATGTAGATATGTCTATGGGCCACAGCAATCACTTACCATCAAGCGGACTGTGTGCTCGTTTGTCACCTTTCTCCTATAAAAAAATCATCTTCGTCGAGCAACGGAAGGATTTCATGTCATTTTAAATAATTACGTGTAACAAACTGTTCTCTTTGTTGAGTTTTAGAAACGAGAATATTAAGATCAATATCTCGAATCACATTAAAAGAATTACTGAATTCATTTCGGAAACCAAAAACGCCCCTTGGCACCTCACACTCACCGCTAACTCGAAGACAAATTGTGATAAATTAAGCCATTCAAATCTTGTCTGTTTTTCCTTCAAATAATTGCAATAACTTTACTTGTTATTATTAGAATTAGTTCGCTTAAAATTTTAAATAAAAAGATTCCTTAACATATCTGCTTATACTTGTTGCTAATAACTTTTACTTGTTGCGCTTATGACTAGTAAATGTGTCCTAAATTGAAAAAAATGTGCTATTTATAAGTGCAATAATTGTACTTATTGCGGTAATCTATAGAAATATCACAAAATATTATAGCATACCTTGCCATAACTCAAGTTATTTCGTTCATGATATGCAACTTACAAATGGTATTATTAGATATTGCAGTTATGCTTAACAAAATAACCGAATGTACCGCTAATACAAAAAATACGACAAATATGTACTTAAGTCAAAAAGCCAAAAAACTCGAGTTATTGCACTTATTGTAAGGACGGCAGTATAGGTCTCATGATGCGGTCTTTTTTCGCATCCTACTCTTGAGGCCGGGTTTGCGTCATGCCGGATGATCTAAACGTTATTGCAGATTCTGTCGCTGGTGTAGTACTTCAGGAAATGGAACTAGTTATTCCATGATCTGTGGTGCCTGTCAGAGGCAGAACTCAGCCAGGGTTTGGTCACTCCTGTAAAATTAAATCACGCTTTAAACAAGAATACTACCGGGCCTGCGGAGAAGTCTCAGGATGCAAACACTAGTGCACTTAAAAAGAAGCATAATTCCGCCTTCAGATCCTTAAAAAGTATCATTGCCAAGGCAAAGTCAGAGCACATCGGCTGAATTAGCGAGAAACTAGTTCGACTTCCTTCGAAAACACGTGCACTCTGGTCTCTCGCCAAGGCTATCCCAGGTAGCTTCTGTCAGCCATCTCTGCACAGAGTGAACGAGTCACTGACCCATGCCGCAAAGGAGAAAGCCGATCTGAATGACTCTCTTTGCGTCCAACTCGACTCTCGATGACGAGGGGAACACACCGCCGATCATCCCGCGGTATGAGTGCTCCATGCAAAATGTACTGTTTACACAGCGCTCGGTGCGCAAAGCACTCCTCTCCCTGGACGTCAACAAGTTGAATGGGCCTGATGAAGTCCCACCTTTTGTGCTGAAGACGTGTGCTCCGGAGTTGACACCGGTTTTAATGCTTCTTTTCCGGTACTTCTACTTCCTATGTGTAGTACCGAAGTCATGAAAGACAGCTTTGGTGCACTCGATCTCTAAAAAAATCGTCCAAATAGATCTGTAACAATTATTAACTGCCAGCTCATAAGGTACCTTGAGGATCACCAGCTGATTAGTGAACGCTAGTACGGTTCCCGTCCCATGATCTTCTGGGTTACTTAAATCATAGACGGGCGAAGGCAGTAGAGTCTAAGGGAGAGGCATTGGCCGTTAGTTTGGACATAGCGAAGACCTTCGACCGGGTTTGGCACAAAGTGCTTCTTTCAAAGCTTTCTTCCCATGGGCTTCCCAAGAAATTGTGCAATTGGATCACTAGTTTTCTTGCGTATCGGAGCATCAAGATCGTAGTAGACGGTCATAATCATTACAGCCCTTCACAAGTCCACTGCTGAACTTAGGCCTCCCCCAAGTAATGCCACAAAGCATGGCCCTGAGTCACCGGCATCCATCGACTTCCTGAACGTCTTACCAGATCGTCACTCCATCTAGTGGGGGGTCGCGCTACACTACTCCTACCGGTACGAGGCTGCCACTCGAGAACCTTTCTTCCCCATCGGTTATCGGTTCTTCGAGCTATATGGCCGGCCCATTGCCACTTTAGCTTACTAATCCGTTGGGCTATGTCGGTCACTCTGGTTCTACTGCGAATATGCTCATTTCTGAGTTTATCACGCAGAGAAACTACGAGCATAGTCCTCTCCATAGCTCGCTGAGCGACCTTGAGCGTCCTCATACGGCCAGCAGTGAAGGACCACGTCTCAGATCCGTAAGTCATCACTGGCAACACGCACGGGTTGTCCCTGTAGTCCAGTTTTAACCCTCAGAAGACACAAGTTTGCGCGTTAACCGCTAACTGGAACCCCTTTGTCGTATCTCCTCAGTTTCAAGGCACTCCCCTTGTTGCCCGAGCCAGTATCCTCGGCGTCGACATATGAGTGACGTGCAGTTTCGTGGTCACTTGGAAGCCACACAGAACGCCAAATTGGCCTCGAAAAAGCTTGGTGTGTTCAACAGAGCGGGACAGTATTAACAATGCTATAAACTTCACTAATATTCCCCTTAACCACTCGTGGTAAGCTTAAATTGCTTGTGTTACGTGTGGTTCACGTCAGTAGTCGAATGGCGGAGTCGAACCCACGACCTTTTTGAGTTCGCGGTCCGCGCTCTGCCATTAGGCTACTGTCGCTTTAAACACACCACAGTATTTCATGCCGGCACACCGCTTGCAACTTTACAAGGCGCAGGTTCGGCCGCACATGGAATATTGTTTCCATATCTGGGCTCGATTCACTGACGCTGCGAAGAGATGTTGCATCTCTTTGCGTATTTTATCGCATCTATCACGGGGAGTGCTCTGAGGAATTGTTCGGATTAATCCCAGCCGCCAAATTTTATGAACGCACTACGCGGCAAACCTACCGATACCATCAACACCATCTGGATATTTGGCGGTCCACTACTGTACGTTTCACTAGGAGTTTTCTTCGGCGTACGACCTCTCTGTGGAATAATTTACCAATGGCGATTTTTCCGGAGCGATACGACCTGGAGCCTGGAGGACCTGGACCTTCAAGAAAAGAGCTTACTCCTTTCTAAAGGGCCGGCAACGCACCTCCAATTCCCCTGGTGTTACGGTTGTTCATGGGCTGCGGCAGTCACTTAACATCAGGTGAACCGTATGCTCGTTTGCTTCTCTTCTATAAAAAAAAAAAACTCAAAACTTTACACTAAACAATAAATACTAATATCAGCAGTGCCATACACAGACTATTGTTCCATTTGAACGTCTGTTCTCTCCTCAGTTATTTTATTAAAAGCACACAGATTAAAGACTGGAATTTTAAACTTTTTTTTCATTTATGATTCAGCTTTCCTTAATGGACTTACAAGTACGAGTGGCCTGGAAACGTTATGGCATCCAGATTCCTTACTATAGTAATGAAAGTTTGGTAGGTAAATAATATATTTATTAAACAATTCGTTACTTATACTTCAGAAAATTACGACTGCACTCCCATGACTTATGGCTCGGTGGTTTTGTTTTGTCAGTTATGAAATCTGGGTGACACATTAAAAGTGCTTTGATAACTGACATTCAAAGGTTACAGACTTGAAAAATCTGGTTTGTTGCCAGCAGTGCGTAAGAAAGCAGTCGTTTTTTTCTTCACTTTCTTAACTAAGATATACAACAGTTTACATTTATATTGAAAATACAAGATACAAACGTATATTATGTAGAAATAGTCATGATATAATTATAAAAATTGTTGCTTTAAAATAGAGATTTATTCTTATTAAAGATTTACATACACTTTTTTCAAACATTTAAAGGTATTTTAATTTACGTAGCAATTATCGCTCGATCAGGGAACTATGTATAATTACGATTTACATTTACTTTTCTACATATTTCTGTATAATAAAAATTAAACAATTATGGTGGAAAATTTATAACATTGTAGAATAGTAGCAATATTTTTGTACTAACTTGACAGGTTTTATATAAACGTTTTATCTTGACAGGCTAACTGGCGATAATTAATTATTGTTAAAATGCACATACTTGTAGAATGTGTTGGATTATAATGTTTATTAGATAGCGCTCAGTTATAAAGGACAGTAGATTGTTATTTAAAAACTATAAATAGATAAAAATATCTAAAACACTAAACATTATATCTTACATGTAACAGGTATCATAAATAGTAAAAAAATATATTATAGAATAATTTACGTCATTTTTCTTTAATTTTATACTGAACTAAATGCTTGTGATTAATTAATTTTGAAAAGATAATATGTGCATTGGTGTTTTCAGTTTACCGCAAACATTACTAATTGCATACATAGTTTTAATTTTTGTTGCAAAATTTAATCTTTTATCCGGGCAGTTGACAATAACTGCAGGTGTTGCAGTAGTTACTATATCATGTGTGATACACACAGCGATTAACTTTAACACATCTTATTCATAACAATTACATAACGCAAAATCGTGATTAAAGCTCGTTTTAACTCTATGAGATTATTTATTTATGCACTTGGTTTGATTCAATCAGGTCATTTTGGCATCATAAGAATACATTCAGAAAAAAAACCCTTTTAAACGGCCGAGTTTAATTTAAGAGTTCACAACATTTCACACTTAACATTTAAAAAAGAGTTATTATTAAACTCTGTGTCAAATTTAAATTATAAACATGTACATAATATCTAAAGCTATGCATAATATGGGAGGCAGTGTACAATCAAAATATTTTTAATCATAAGTGCTTACAAATTATGAATTAAATTAATATTATTGTTCGAATTGTAGTTTTCATAATATGATCTGTGGCGATATGCCAATGGTCTAGGTAGGCGAACGTCGCTAGGCACGGAGATTCCATCTCCGCGGTAAGTCCCGTGACCGTGCGACGACGCCAGTGATGCGCGGTTTCAGGCAATGTTTTCACCGTTACCGTCCAACCTCTTCAGCTGAAATTAATCGTATTTATAACTTTAACACTGGTCTTTAAAACGCTTTTTGGGGTAATAGTTTCGTAAACAAATATTTTCAAAATTGGTTTACAAAAATGACAAAGTTGAACATCATAATAAAATTCTTAAAGGATAATCCTCTTGGAGTTTTATCATGAATGTTTTGAGCACAATAAAAAGAAAAAACAAACATTATTTGACATTTTAACTTAGACACGTAGAAACCTCTGCACAGAGTTTTTGGCGGGAACTCGGCCGTCGACGGACTGTCGCTCCTGTTTTGTCGCTTGAATAATAGTTTGAAGTGGATTCTAATTTGTAAAAGTGATGTGATTTTGTGAATTGTATGCGCGTGTGAACTATTAGAGAAAACGACAAAACAAGAGCTTTGATGTTGATTAAACCTGAAGTTAATTTGATCACTTGGGCGCCTTATGAACTTGAGTGGCTGTCAACAGTCCGCTGGGTTGAGTTGTCGTTAAAATCGCCCAAAAACTTCGCAATGTGACGTATCAGCATATTGTAAAGAAAAAATATATAAAATGAAGACTCTGAAAGAAATTATAGGCTCAGAAGGGCTAGAACCCAGAGCCGTAAAGCCAGTAAAAAAATTAAAAAAAAATCTCTGCAAGCTTAAATACTGTTAGGAAGACCAGCGAATATTGTCAGATCTTTTGATTGCTTGTAATCTAATTATGGCGAAGCAAAAATCAAAAGGAATTTAGTGTTTATTTTGCATAACCTTTGCGCCACTTTATAATAGTTATAGTTTATGTAAATTGGATTTCTTAACAATGTAGACTCTATTTGCAAATTTTTTAAAATAAAAAGTACGTAAGTAAAAGTTTGTGATTCACGACAATGATTTATTTTAGGCTCGTTGTTTTTTAAATAGCGCCATCAATAAAGAAAGAAGTAATCGACTTCTATTTTCGTTTAAATTCGGCCAAAGTCCTTTTAAATTAGGATATATCGTGGAGGCGGTTTATACACATAAATTGCACAAGGACACACATTCAAAGCCGGAACAATTATTTGTAGCCCATACACATGTTCCGTGCGGGATTCGAACCCGCGGTCCTGCTGCGCCGCGACCAAACTCTTAGTCATTGTGCTACGGAACCGTCACTGCAAAAAGTACAAGATAATAAATATGTAAGTATTACCACAGAATAAATAATAGTATTACTAAAAACTATTCTGAAATTTTTGATATAATATCACAACGTGGTCATAAACAAAAGTTTTAAAGTATTCATCCCGCTTTTATATTATTTTTAAGGCGTTCGGTAGTTTATTATTATTTATTACGAACATGTAATTTAGAAAATTATAATTATAACAGACTTATGCCACATTTTCAACAAGTCTTAAATAGAAATTGAATATTATTTTTTTATTATTATGTTAAATGAAAACAGTTAAAATTGTAATAAATGGCTGTAGGTATAAATGGCTGTATTTAAAAATAATTTTACACAATGTCCAGTCACAATGTTTAAGCGATTTTTTGTATTTTCATATTAGCATCAATTTACCGTCACTATTAAAAATTAAGATTTGTCTGTATATTTCAATTAGCATGTAATGTCCTATTTTGGGACACCTTTCTACACTTACCTTAATTTTGAGAGAGTAACAGAGCTCTATTTATTGATGCTGTTCTACTACAAAGTACGTTAACAAAAAAGTATTATAAACATTACACTATAATAGTTTTAGTGTATTTTTTTATTTGTTCCACATGCATGCCTCTGCAGGATTACTTATATCATTTAATGGCCTACTTACCTGATGTAATAAATCTCATTGCTGTACTGGTTTGACTATATTATGTTAATGTCATTTAAAAATACATATAAGTACCCGGTTGACCGAGCTTTGCTCGGTATTTTTCGCTCGGTTTTTTTTAATTCGTGGGTTTTGGAAATTATATTTAGATACAAATTACATACTGATGAAATACGAATAATATTTTTTGATCTTAGCGACATAATAGAAAAAACTGAACTGGTTATTTGAATAAAAAATCATGAGTGCAATACATTTAATTTAAATTTTCGTGTTTTTAAAAAAATACTAAAAAAAGGGCTCGAAAAAATAGATTTTCTCAAAAAAGAAAGGAACTTAAAAAAAAATTAAAAAAGTCGATCGGTCGGGTCTGGGCTCGAACCAGGGTATTACGATTTTGTGACCGCCCAATATACCAATTAAGCTATTTGTAATCATTAATAATCTGTCAAAATTTACCTTCTTATTCTAACGATATTGTAGCAGTTTATCATTGCCTAAAAACACGGACAAAAAGACATTTTCTAAAAATAAATCCTAACTAGATCATTCGATTTATTGCCCCCGAAACTCCCTGCACACAAAATTTTATGAAAATCGTTGGAGCCGTTTCCGAGATTCCGATTATATATATATATATATATATATATATATATATTATATACAACACGTAACATAATTAACGCACTTTGAGAAATTAGTTTGTTCAGAATCGTTTACTGAATCGATTCCTATCATTTTTAATATAGGTAATTTTTTATCCCAAAAATAATTAAAACTATGTAAATAACAGTCCCACTAAATCTGTACAATCAAAACAAACTGAAATGTACCATAACTTAAGGCAATAAGACTTTTAAGAGTGCAGTTTTATTTGTATTATTACTAATTCTGTCATTCAATAAAAATAACGAAAAATGAACTTTATTTCAAAAAATGTTAAAGTGTTTGCGTTCGTGGATTTGTACTGTGACCACAACATTTTTCCGGAATTAGTATAACTAATTTGATAAATAATTAGTTCATAAAAATGTTTAACTAAAAATTCAGTGTATGTATTATGATTATAACATAGTAATTGGGGTCTCTAAGGGTGTGCGTTAATTACATTACATATTGTATATATATTTTCCTTTAAAATATGGTTTCAAATTAGCGTATGGCTAATTTATTCTTTTGGGAATATTATAAACGCAAATAGGCTTGGGTTAAAAATATCTATATATTGTATTTTATGTTACTAAGATACTCCCTGCTCTTTGGGCATCTTTCATTTTTAAAAACCCTCCAACAAGCATTTATTTGCTTTTGTTTTGTCTATGTATTTGTGTACAGTGTAAAAAGTATCAATCACGTATTGTATGTGCAGTAGGTTCTTCAAAAAAAAGAAGGCAACAATGAGACAGCTCCTTGCAATTTGTGCAGCAAGTCGTACAAAACATATAATACACACATAATACAACCAATTTGGCCACTCATCTAAAAAACTAAGCATCATTTTCCTTATTTGCAAATGATAAAAATGCAAGTTCATCAAAAACTTCTAAATCATGCAAAACAAACTATATGTCGATATCTATCATGCTGTAATCGATGCTGTTTAAAAGTATCGATACGATAAATATCGATATATTTTTCACTTGCCAATACCCAAAGGCAGAAAACATATTATCTTACACTTTGTTCAACCGTCCATGCTGTAGGTGCTTGGCGTCCAGAACGCTAGTAAAATATAAAAATACAAACGTCAGTTTTAATTAAAACATTGTGAATATAATACTCTTTGATTTTAGTCTCAGAGTAACTAGCATAGAGGGAATCCTAAAATAAGAACAAAATTCTTGTAGTTGAACTCTTCATGCACATGACGTTTTTCGTCGTACAAAATAAGATAGCTATATTATTCTCACCTTCTTGCTTTTACAAGGTTGTTGCCTGTTTCCAAGAAATTTATATACTACTAACGTAGTAACTGGATTGTGCACCTTCGACTAAAACGCGATCTGAGGGTGCTAGCGCCGCAGAAGCCTTCTGTCCTTGTCAGGCGGGCGACAACAAAATAAAAGTTATTGAGACATTAATACCTAGGAATTGATACAAACATCCAGATAATGAGTTGAGTAAATTATTTGTTTGTTTTAATATTTATATCACGTATGATAATGCTGTAAATTTTGTGGTGTCGTATGTTTCTTTATGTCTAGTAAATATAGTGAATCTAGAAATAATTCCTTGAGTGAATCTTGAGTTGAAGTAGCGAAGCTTAGACATAAAACTGTTTAGTCCTTGTTCAGTTCAAGATTCACTAGATATGTGGTCGTGAGTACTTAAAGGAAAAAACAAGAAAAAGCAATGTTATTACATTAAAATTAAATCGAGATTTCTCCTGAAGGAGGAAGTTTAATCTTTTAGCAAGCAAATAAGCTGATACAACTGGACGAATACGAGCATGTTCTTTATGTATTTTAGGTAACCCATATAAAATGGATGCTTGAGGATTCATTGGAACAAGACACCTCCGAGACAAGTTATGATCGAAAAAAAATATGATGAGACAAACTTTTACTGAAGTAAACTTTTGGTTGGGTCAGACTCCGATAGCCCAAAGTCATTACCTTTAACATCGTTCACCTACTGGCTGTACCCGCTATTATACATAATCACAACAGTATTGCCCATGTCGATTTTAGTAACAATAAGTTTATTACCCATAGTTCTCTGCTTTAATGACTTAAAAACAGGGCACTCAGGATTGCAATGGGAAGATGAGAAGTACAGCCTGAATTTCTTTAACTATCAAACTTTTAAAGATGTTATCTTTCTTTCCGATCACAACAGTGACCTCTGCGTCAACAGTCGTCGTCAATGTAATGATTAACAAACTTTTTAAATACAAAATTATTTTTGTTCACACATGACTGGACAAAAGAGTTTTATGCAATTTCTGCCTCACTGTGAATTTCTGGCCTAAAATCTTCAGTGACTTAACTTTTGGCATGGTTTAACTAAGACTTAAATAATCTGAATCTTCGAATTGAATGAGTGCGAAGGATGTAACGGATCAAAGTAGTTTCTAAGCTAGAAACTTCTAAGCTCGATATAAATACTATCCATAATAAGTAATCGATTGGCTGACCATCTTCTGATAGCTGTAATAAGTTGCTTCGTAAAGAGTGTGAAGTTTTTAGTATTTCATAGTAACATGTATGATTAGTAGATTGCATAACCGACTAAGATAATATAAACAAATAACATTGTCAACCTAGTTATGCATCGGCGTAGCGTATATGGCGTAGATTGCTGAATTGCGTCTGGAAGACGGGTGGTCTTTCGCGTGAACACTGATAACTGTTCCTTAGCTTAAAGATCTAGAATAAGAATTAGGATAGTCTTAGTTTGACTCGCACATGTATCGGACATGTAGCCTTATCCATCGTGGATTAATTAAGTAGTATATAAGTAATGTATCGCACATTAATAATTATAAGTTTATTAATAAAGTCTTTTTAAAAACGTCCTGAGTCAATTTCGAATCTTGACTACCTACACACTAAAAATTATTTGATGAAAATCCACTTCGATAAAGAAATCGCACATCAAGCATAGTATAATTCACTATTGCAGCCTCAAATACAATTAATTCCTTATCAAAATTAATATAAAGAAAACGTACGCCTTCTTACCACATCACTCATCATATATTAAAAACTAAGACTTTAGACGTTATATATGTATAAATATGGCCGACTGTCCATCGCCTTCAAGGTTTGCCACATTCGATGTCAGCAATCAGCATATTCTGCCTATTATTCATGAAATCTTTTTGAGTTGAAAGAAGATTTAAGCGGAAATAAATTAATAAAATAAAAACACATTAAAAACAACAATAACACAGCGTATTGCTTCCAATCCTTCATAAAATGTATAAATATTCTTACCGGGACAGAGAGCCCCCGAGGCTATCTCGCCTCCGACCGCATTTCTCGTAAAACAAGACAAAGTCTAATATTGACCTTATATTCCTAAGTATAGTTTAGTTTTAAGTATTATATGCAAAGAACTCTATGTTAACTAATTAAATGATGCTAAGTGCGCATTCCAGTTAATATGTTAGTTGCTTATAAATTTATTGGTGTACTTACTCTTATATTTGACACAGTACAAAGAAACCAAGGATGACTACTGTCATTTCAGCTCTATTAATTACACGCAACATCTTACAAAAGGTTTCTCTTTTTGTCTTTTTTGAAAATTAAATTAAAAACGGTGAGGTAATGTAGAATTGTAGGTTCCCTCTTTACATATATATGTAATTACTCTAAGGTTTGTGTACAAAGCACAGAAGTATCGACTTTTCCACTATCAAATGGCAGCTGTAATGGCATCATTTTTGATATGAATTTTACTTTGTTTTATTATCATAAATCAAAAAAGATATATCCCTATGTATTTCCGACTACTACTACTACATTTCTTCTCTCTTCTATAAAAGGGTATGGGGACATCCATTAATAACGTGAGGTGTTTATGGAAGCAGAGGGTCGAGCCGAATCTCACCAATTTTCACGTGGAGGAGAGGTCTCTGCAAATATTACGTAATTTTTTCTGCAAGAATCAGTGTAAAATTTGGAGAAAATTGGGTTAAATTAAGTACAATATGACTAAATCTTACACAATAATATTCATCGCGGTTATGCAATCTCAACACAATCAAGCACCGATTAACGTATTTACACTAAAAATACGCATTTTGAAAAAATCTCACTAGAGATTAGGGGGGGGGGAGGGTGAAGCTCGATGACTCGATAGTCATATCTCACGACATCTCGTTAGGAGGAGGGAGGCTAGAAAATGCGCCAAAATCACCTCACGTAATTAATGGACGCCCCTAACAGAATAACTAGTCCGACGCTGGAAATTACGCGAACAACCCGGGTTCGATCCCTACCGGCACCAATGAAATTGTTAATTCCAATATCAAGTGCTAATTGATCAGGGTTCGGCGATGAAAAAAAAATATCGTGAATAAACCTGCATACAAATATTTATAGGATATATGAAGTCCGCCAACACACACTGGAACAGCGCGGTTCTTAGACATGAGCAAATTACAGAAGGACAGGCCTTCTCTCATTTGCTCATTTCTGCCTAGCTGTTTAGGGGATAATATATAGACTGTAACTTGTCTTACTTTTTACTGTTTTGCTGAAATGTTCGTGCTGAAAATAAACCAAACCATCAAAGTATCGAAAATAACAATGAAATAAGTCAACTCCTTGTATAATCTATATTAAGTATTCATATTATAGATTATACAAGGAGTTGACTGAAATGTATTGTAGTGTTTATTAGTGTTATGTAATTAATATCGAGCGAGTTCTTACCCGCGTTATAAAAAAAATGTCGTTTAGCTGTGGTTCCCTGCCAACTTTTAACCGGGAATTGCAATCGTGAAAGATATTTAGTACCAGAATTACCAATGGCATATCGCTAAGGATATAAATGTCTCAAATAATGACGCAGGAGTAGAACGGCGAGCGATTCTGCGCAGCCCATTCGCCGATATTCAAACTTGTCTCAGATCTCGCTGTACCACAGGATATACAAGAAATCCCAGCCCAATCGTCAATATTCTGTACGCAGTATGGAGCACAGGAGACTAGTAAAACTCAAAACAGCTGTCAAAGCACTGTATCACACAACAAGTAGTTAAGGCGACACCGCGAAAAAATGCAACTCCTTTCATCGAATAGTATAGGACTATGACACCACGATGACTAACGAAGGTGGAATTTTGATATAGGTAAATTCATGTCTTTATCTTGAATTTGCTTGTTCAAAAACACGATTGTATAATTTTGACTCGATCATAATTATTTGCAAAAATAGCTCTAAAAATCACTATAGTTGAAATTACAACCAAATTACTTAATCTTTTAAGCTTGGGAATCACTCAAATATATTCATAACATCCATATTCATAATTTACTTGCTCATTATTTTGATTACTTAAATCAATAATTTAAAAAAAAATAGTTTAAGATTCTGACAATTTCTAAGCGGTTTAAATCGTCGCGGGCGCTACGCAATTTTAGACCTTATGACGGCGTTTTAGTTTTTATAGAAATTATGTATTCACTCGGATCAGTAGGGCGATAGCCCGGAGCCACATTTCCGATGTGTCATCTTAAACTCATATGACAATGATTTCAACAGTTTTTTCGGTTTAACTATTATTAGAGAGATAGAACCATATAGTTACCTCTTTTTCATCTCCGGCCACGGGCCTGTAGCGAGGCGGAGTGATGTTATTCGGGGGTGGCGCAGAGAATCCGTGGAAGTAGATGAGCGCTGCTGCAACGCCGCCAGCAATAGGACCAGCCCAATAAATCTGGGGATTAAAATTTTTTGCCCATCAACACAAATAGATGAAGAAATATGCCAGTAATAATTATAATTTGGTTTTTGATAAGCGCCAAATAAGCCGTTAGCAGAGACCCAAATTTAAATAAGTTACACATAGCGGGGGAATGTTTTTTTAATTTTAACATTATTTTAATAATAGATAGCCTACTAAGAACAAGATGATTCTCAATAAGCATAAAACCGCACGAGCACTCGGACTAACAGTTAATTTTAGATGATAATATACACTAGATAATTAGTAAATGTGAAGATTTAAGGAAATTTAACAATATAAGCAATTTTCTGCAAATGATTTTTACTGCGATACATTTATTTTGCGTCTAATTGTTAATTTAATTGAAAGTGGCAGACTTTCTCATGTTGCGTATAATAATTATTGATTTGACGATTTTTTTCTTAATTTTAGGAATATTTCGTCGTCAGGCAGACAGAAAATTCATTAATAGCACCCAAATAATAAATTACCTATAAAATTAATAAAAAGTTGAATCTATTCATTTCAACGAGTCAGTTATTATGATTACAATAGAATAATATTTTTATTCAATATACATGTAATCCTTATTGAAAGTCATTTTATACGTTACCACTGGTTTTGACAGAGTAATCATCATCATCATTACAGCCTATCAAAGTCCAAGTGCTGAACATAGGCCTCCCTCATAGATCCTTTAATAGTGAAGGATCTCCATAACATTATAGAGATCCTTCCCCATAGGGGACAGCGAAGGGGCGAGGCAATCTAGGCGCTATAACATTTGCCATATTTGCCACGCTTAGCGGGCGAGTTGGCAGCCGCAGTTTGTTTAATTATCTTCAGCAGCTATCGGGAGCATGCTGCTCATGCCATCTTCCGTTTCGCTTACTTTAACTTTACTTGAACTTTACTTTCAAGAACATATAATAAGAAATACGCAAGATGAAAAAAATATTGTTAAAAAGCTAAAACACGAGAACTAAATGTAATAATAGGTCGGGGAAAAAATTTCTATTAGTATCTATTGATATACATATATATATATATATATATAAAAATATATATATATATATAATTATATGATATATATATGTATATATGTACATATATAGAAAATAAAAAAGAGGTGTTTGCACCTTTACGCGCGGTGAAAGTAAAAGTTATGAATATATTTTTATAGATATGAAAACTTGTTACGATACCAAATTAATTCCATATTTTTCAACCAAAACTTATATTCGTATATCGTATTTATATAACTGGTTTAGTGCCAAAAAAATATCACAAAATCTGGACTCTCTAGATGGCGCTGTGGTCAAGTTATTAATACATTTGATATTTACACTAAAAAGGCGAGAAAATAGGAGTGAAACTCATCGCGCCGCCTACCGGAAAGGGCAAACGGGAAATAATATTACAATCACCATTGTCATTGAGTTCCGATTCCGAGTCGGGCCAAAATCAGTTATTGGTTTTTTATTTTTACCAAAATTTAAAAAAAAAGTATTTCAGTCTACAGAAGTTACTACAATAAAAATTGTTGGAATTTACCTAGTAAACATTATAAAATGAAATGAGTAAGTTTTTTCAACGACAGCTGCTACATGCACTCTATGCTATTATCTATTTCATGGTGGTTTCATCTGTATTGAAGAAAGGGAACAATGGCTCGAAAAATCGGCCGCGGTTTGCGCGTTCACAACGGACGGGAACATCTGTTCAGTCCTACGCACACACAGTTTGCGTTCGGATTTGTATGCCCCGTGGCCCGTCCGTTTGTTTTGATAACGGGCGGCGGCTGGGTGAATCTGTACTTGAACCTCGCTATACATCCGTATTCTGTACGTATGATTAGTATGTAGTCTCTTACACGTAGTACGTACAGTACCCTAAGCGATAGATGATAGAGAACTACGATTACCTACGTAATCCAAACGTAATCATCGTATCAGAGTCAAACGCAAAAACATGGTCAAAAAAGAACGTTTTAATTAAATTTTATTGAGAAATTTAAATCCATCCGTATTTTGCATCAGTAGGAACCTCCAAATACCTACTTTAACTAGTTTGAATTTTTAATTTTGATCGAGTGCACAATTTGGCAGTGGTGACCGTTTTGATATCAAGAATACCGGACTCAACTTTTCAGTTTAAACGGCTTCAGTTCAACAAACTAGCCTAACTATAAATTCAGGAAGACTAAAAAAGGCACAAAGCCTGACATTAAGTGATGTTGAAGAATTCAACGTTGTCCATGTGGTCAACTGTACAATATCCTGTCACGTGTGACCTCAAAACTTAATTGTTTTTTATACCTAATTATGAGGAAGTAGATTGATGATTATAGTTACCATTAAAACTTAACCTGCCATCGGTCACGTTTTAAATGCAATACTCCGTACAAAGTGACTGACTGACACGGCAGTCAGAGGCTTGATATAATTCAAGAAAAGTTTTAATATAAAGGTATACAAAATATCTGCCGGACCTCCGTCTTATGATCTCCGTCGAATAAAGAGGTGAAAAACGTTCTGAATTGATTCAGGTATTTCTGGTATTTAGAATTGTAAATCTGTAATTGGTGTCGAGTGTCAACACTGGGGAATAGATAACAAGTCGCTTCCGTACCATGAACTTTGAGAAGAGGACTCAGTCCCTGAACTACCACAGCTCTAACCTAATTATTTATGAATTTAAAATAAATTGTATAAATCTATACTAATATTATAAAGCTGAAGAGTTTGTTTGTTTGCTTGAACGCGCTAATCTCAGTAACTACTGGTCCGACTTGAAAAATTCTTTCAGTGTTAGCCCATTTATCGAGGAAGACTATAGGCTATATATCATTACGCTAAGACCAATAGGAGCGGAGCATCAATGAAGAATGTTTCAAAATCGGGTTTCTTTCCTTTTGAGAGCTTCCGCTGCGTGCGCTGCGTAAACAGTTAAAGTTTCGCAAAAATCATGTATGACAGAATTGTTCCCCTTTAAAAGTTCTAAAAAAAGTCCGCGACAGCATATGTCTGTCTTTTAAGGTTGGCTCTCTATAACCTTTTTTAGCTAACCAAAATTGTTCTAAAATAATGCATTATTTGCGAAGGTGTTTTTATAAACATGATATTAATCCTTATCCGAATAAATACATTATTCATCACGAGTATTTAATTTAAAACAAAATTGCCCTTTACATCATTCGAAATCAATGAATATCTTAGATGTCGCAGTTTTAAGCAAAATGGAAATTGATCGTGATTTAGGTGAGAAAGGATACCGACATTGAAGACCTAATCTCCAAAGTCTACCCATATGTAGTCCATATAGAAAAAAAGACTATCAGTGGATGTGTCAAAGGGCAATATTGGCAGCTAGAAATCGTAGCATTGACGACATCAATAACATAATACTGGGTGAACTTTCAGGAGATAGCGTTAAACTACATGTCCATTGGTAACGTAATGGATCAAGACGATGCGGTACATTGCCCAAAAAAATTTTTAAATTCTCTAACCAAAACCAGGAACCAGACTCCAAGTAAAATTTCTTCGCAATATCGTGATTGGTGCTACAGTTATGACTGGTCTAGTAGTAGGGCAAACAGTGCTGATACCTCGTATCCCTATGATACCAACGCCTTTTAATTTTAAAATAATTCAATTTCCGGTAAAGGTATCGTTTGCGGTAACAATCAATAAGGCCGAGGGTCAAACATTTAAGCACCTAGAATAGATTTACGCCAAGAGTGTTTTTGCACGGGCAACTATTTTACCTAACGTTTTAAAGTTCCATTTTTACTGATAAAAGCGTGATGTAAGTACCTAAAGTAGCTCCTAAACGTAAGTATTATTTAAAATATTTTCACCTTCAACGTAAACGAAGTCGCGGGTTAAAGTTAACTTTAGCCCAAAGTAACTATTCCACGCGGACGAGGTCGCGGGCAGAAGCTAGTATAATAATAAACCAATTGTTAGTATCGCTCATGCGTTATCAGCAGTCAGCAAGCAATAAATTTTTAAAGGAATAATTATGAACGCCTATGTACATTATCTAAACGAATATAATAATAACGGAAAAAGTCTTGGATTAGGGGTAAGGTTACCATCTACCCGAATAAATTCGATCTTGAAGGGATTTTAAGATCCAAGACCGGATTCCGATCAGATTTCAATACATACTGGATATGTACCACGCCGGCTTTACTTATAGATTAGTACTTACGTAGGTCTACTACGGGTGGTGCTAGTCACGAGATCAGGTGAACAGGATTTCAAAGACATTATTTTTTTTTCAATGTGATGAAACCAACATTTTAAAATATATAAATACTTATAGATAAATGTATTTATAATATTGACAAATTTTAACTGTAGAGTAGTCAGAATATGAATTTAAATAAGTTACAAGAAATTTATTAGGTACTTTTACGTAGTACTATTATTTACTGTGTTATAACTTATAAGCTTATAACCTTCACGCAAGCAACGGTATGGCAGCGCATAAAAGACGAACAAGCAGATATTAATTTTTATATATTAGATTTTAGATAGATTAGTAGATAGAATAATTATATAGTTTAGAATGGTACAATGATATTTATTATGGAGTTAATTCATTTTATCTTTTCTTTGATTGTCTAGTTAATTTATTTTGTTTAAATAAGTTATGGCTTAGCAATGTAATAAGGACCGTAATATTCGTACACAATTTATTGTTAATGAATAAAAAGATTGATTGATTGTTGCTTTTGCCAAATGATATATATCAATATAACAAATAAGGTTACAAATACGCTTTCAATTTTAAGGAATTATATGGAATGCCTTAAAACCTTGTGATAATACTCGTTGCTGGCTGATGCTGCCCAGACTCTTCAAACTAAAACATAGTAGTGGATGCAGTCCATCACACTGCTTCTTAGCGGCAGAAATTCGTGAGTGAGTGATACCTAATGTACGTTCGCCTTACTCGACCATCCTGAATACGCGTTTGAG